TCGTCCCCTCACGCTCCCTCCAACCCCTAAAGAAGCCTCGGGTCAATGATTAGTTAACAGGAATCACATACAGACCTCAGTATGAATCTCATGTTAGGATGAGATACTAACAAAATCAGCCTCAGGCCTTAATGTTGTGGTGCAAAGATTAAGCAAGACAGAGATAATCACTGACAGGAAGTCATCATCACAGAATTAAAAGCAGTTCTTATTCTGGAGTTGATTGACAGTTCTAAAATGTCAATCAAACTACACTATGGACAAAGTTCTGGTGACCTTTGATGTGTTATTGGTGTGTTTGTGTGCTAATATTGGTTAAATCATCATTCCAATAACAAATAACTACCATCAACACTGACAAACACATATTGTTTCTTCAAAGTACTTCAAAGAAGGAGTAGCGTATAAATACCACAGTATATGAATATGATAATATATCAAAATAGGGAACAAATACCACATGCAAAAAAGTATGTATAGTGTACAGTATTTGAATGCATGAGATAAAATGCATACCTTGCAACTGAAGTCATTTGGATAAAAGTGTCTGTCAAATGCAATCTGTAGGAATTCCTGTATCACACATTAGACGTTTCTATGAATCACAAGCTGCATGTGACGTTTTAAAACACGTTAAGTACATCATCCGGACAAAATGATCACCCTCAAAGGGTCCCAACGGAGTTTTGACAGACTGAGGAAGCACTTTGGATGCTTCCAAACTCTCTCTGTTGGAATTGTGATTTTTAATCTCACAATTCAGACTTTTTTCTTGCAATTCTGAGAAATTCTGAATTGCGAGATATAAATGCAGAATTGCGAGAAACAAGTTCATATAAACTGATAAAAAGTCAAAACTGCCATTTTTTATTTTTATTCCGTTGTGAAAAAAAATACAGAATTGCAATATAAACTCAGAATTCTGAGAAAACAAAAAAGAAAGTCAGAATTCTGCAATCTAGCAATTCTGAGTTTATCTCACAATTCTGCAATTCTGACTTTTTTCTCAGAACTGCGAGAAAAAAAGTAGCAATTAACTTTTTCATTTTTTTATTCTGTGCCGGAAACAGGCTTCCATAGTTTCATGTTCATTTTTAACAAAAATCTTTTAGTTTATATAACTACAACTTGATGGAGTTTGTGTTTGGCTGTGCAGCTGCTGAAGCAGCATTATAAGAGGATCTGTGAGTCTGTCCCTTCCACTGACCTGACCTCTCACCTCTGACCTCAACAAATCCTGAGCGGCAGTAAGCTCATCCCTGCTCAGGCATCCCGGCCCACTAAACATGAACCAGAAACCAAGCCACTAACACAACAGAGCAACCCTAGAAGTGGACACTTCCGTTTCAGCGAGTTCCTCTCCTTCGCTCAGGAGATGCTTTCAGAGCAGCACAGGTCTGTGGATCAGTACACACGGGGTCAGAGGTTACCACGGCAACACCAGGGGCCTGATGTGCAACTTTAGAGCTTCCATCTCCATTCCAACCCTAAAAACACTCAGTCAACTTTTCACTGAGAGAGAAAGATCATTACAAGCCAGTATATATATAACTACTCAGTCAGCATGAAACCCATATTTCCATTGAAATATGACATTGAAAACCCATTGAAATATGACATTCAATGAGGAAAAAAGGTGGCTGTTATATAGTTTATGGTTAATTGAGGGGGACTGATCCACCGCCTGCACTGATTGGTTGAAATTTAAGTGGCCTTTGTGACATCAGCTGAAAGGAAAGTGGTTTTAGAGGCGGAGTAAGCTGCATCATGTTTTGATGAAAGATTATGAAGACAAATATTTTCATTGGTATAACCCTGCACTAATGAATAATAATATTAATCAGTTATTTTTAAATAAACAAAAAAACTTTTTTTTACAATAACAACTATTATTTATAAAATAGATGAATATAACTAAATAAATAATTATGATTATGATGATGATGATAAGAATAATATATTTTTGTTACTACTATTACTATTAAATAAGAAAAACATTCGTGTAATAATAATAATAATATTTTAGTATTAGTATTATACAAATAAACATATTTTATTGTATTTATTTACAACAACAGCAACTTTTGTTCTAAAATAAATAAACTATAAAATAATATTTAAAAATTAACCAAAATAAAATGATACTTATTTTATTTATTAATAATAACAACAACTATTATTTATAAAATAAATGAATATAACTATATATTCTTAAAAATATATTCATATATTTAATAAATGTAATGAATTTTATTTAATAACAAACAATAAATAAAACATTAATAATAATAATAATAATAATATATTGTTGTTGTTGTTGTTATAGATAATAATAATATAATATTTAATATAATTATCTTATCTTTCATATATTGTGCAATTTATAAATTATTTTATTCATTATTTTATGATTCATGTCAAGGCTAAATCAAGCATGTAATTATAATGAATGTCCAGATCAGATATAAAAATCACACAAATTCTGACTGTTCTCACTGAAGCCACATGGGGGGAAAAATGTATTTCTATGCAGTTTACTTACACATATAACTGCTTTCAATAGACTGATATTAAAATAACACATATCCAGAGAGGGATGAAACTTTCCCCCTCTCTGTCTCTCTGTCTCTCTGTCTCTCTGTCTCAGTGTGACTGTCAGTGATGGTAAAGCAATACGAGTGTGTAAGTGTTTTCTGAAAGCGGATCATTACAAAGAGCCCTTAAAAGATCTTTTAGTGCAGGTAAGAGATGCCACCTCCATACTGACATTTCAGCCTTCAACACACACACACTCACACACACACACTCATGCTCAAACTACAGTGTGTTTCTGTCAAGGTAAAACATCACTTAACATCATCATCACTTCGGAGTTCAACTGAAAGCTGTTCATTAGCATCTCAGCTTATCCTCTAGAGACCGATGAAGATGTTCTGACACACTTCCATGCAACTTTGACACATTAAAATGCCGTAATGTAGGATGCTAGTTAATCCATCTTTAATGCAAAAGTAATTTGAGATGTTTTAAGGTTTTATTAGCAGATGCATTATGCACAAGCGCGGTGAACAAACACAGTCCCGCTGTGTCGTGACCTGACCTCACCTCTCGCTCCTGCTTTAGAGAAATGACAACAGAGGCAAAGAATGCTTCATCTGTGAACAAAAGGGAAGAATGCAAAGCCCAAAAGCTGGTCAATCAGGGTCCGTCCAGCAGGCCCCCGCCGGCCAATCAGAAGCCAGAATTGGCCCCTCATCATCCAATCAGAGGCCACGCTCAGGACCTCTCCCTCTGGCCTTTAGCCTCTCAGCCGTATGGGGGCAGGGAGGCCGGAGAATATCCCGAGACCCTTATCTTCCCCCCGAGCACTGAAAACAGCACGGCTATTGTGTCTTATCTGATCTGCTGAAGAGCAACAGGTCAAATGCTCACCCAGAGAGCAATATCTGTGATCAAATAAATGTAGAGTAGCACTCACACCACCTGCTTAGACAGCGTTTTTAGGTGCGCTCGTGATACAGACAGAAACATTAATGCATGCATTATGGCAAATTCAGAGTCAACATACATACAATCCTGCAAAGCATTGATATCACCGTACTGCTGAATCAAATCTAGCACTTGTTTCTTAGTCATTTTGGATGCTGATTCCAAAAATAGTGGCCATTATGGCAAATTCAGAGTCAACATACATACAATCCTGCAAAGCATTGATATCACCGTAC